TTGTTTATACTTCAGAAAAGTAAAACAGTTGTCTGACTCATGCACACAGATTTTTTAAGAAAATAGGAAAAAAAGACCAAAAATAAGATTAAAGTCTCTTACACATATTTAATATGAAAAAAATGCAGTATTTTAATGAGAACCTACTCTATCTTAAATAATTAATACCCAACAGAAAATAAAGCAATGTAAAAGACAATCACTGTCTGTTGAGTTATCTCTAAATACAAACACTGCTTGGCATTTTCAGAGACATCTTCAAATATACATCTTACTGCATAAAATAAACACTATAAAATAGGATACTATCTCCCCTTTAAAGTTTCTTTGAGGAGTAGGAATAAGGTATAGCAGGTGCCTGTCACCTTGAAGGAAGCAGAAGAGTATAGCACTTAAGGAAATACCATTTTGGAGGGAGAAAGCCCAAATCTTGACCTTGCTGTTTTCTCCAATTTTGTCCTTGAGGAGTTATTTAACATCCGTGAGCTTCATGGGGGAAATGTGAATATTAGAGTTATACAGATTCAACATGATATATGGAAAGCATTGAAATATAATGTCTCATCTGAAGTCTGCATGACAAAGGTAGCTTCTTTCATTAGGGGTTTAAAATGTTGGCTATGATGAAATGAGATGAGATGAGATGAGATGAGATGAGATGAGATTACCAAGCTTCACTTTATTACCAATAACATGATTATAAATGCTATTAATATCAGATAAGCATTATGATGTTTGCTTGAAAAATAGCTCAGAATTTAGATTAATAAATGAAGATTATGTAAAGCAGGTGCCTCCATTTAAATCAAGTGGACCTATACCTCATATATCAAACATACTACGTCTCTGGAGTAGCTAGCTGGCCTTCCTTGGAAAGGCAGAAAAGAACGGCACCATGGAGATGTGAAGTCCAAGGGTTGTAGCATAAATAGTATACAGCAAAATTAGGGGTGTATGTCAAGAATAAGAATGAGAAAGGAATCAGGCAAGTTGACTCAGCAGTTAATTCTGTATGATCAGAATCTGGACATATAGCATTGTGTGGGAGGACCATGCCAACCAAGCAAATATCATTTCGAAGATTTGAAGTCCTTTTGATGCCCTAATCATCTGCACCAACTCTGTTCCTGGACAATGTGGATGTGTTGGGGTCCCCTAGATCCATTATGCAAATCTACAAGTGCAGATCCAGAACCTTGTAAATAGTAGGGAAAAAACAGAATATGCTAACAAAAAACATTTAAGAGGGAAAATTCCCACAGATCAAAGTCCTACTGGCAATGTACTCAAGTAACAAAATAAAAAGTCATCAGTGGAAGACAGAATTATACCAACATTGTTTTTTTCAGAGTAAGTCTGAGAAATGGGGTATATTCAATATACATGGTCCAGCACAAATAATATCCCTTTTTATTTCAAAACCATAAGCATATAATTCTGTAACATAACATATCACACTCAAGCGCACCAAATGACATTTTAGGTGAAATGTTCAAATTGCTGTCCATCTCGTGTGAGACATTCACATACCCACCAACCACACTCAAGCAAGCCTTCCTTCTGCTGGACCCTATATGTAGTTATGTGTATACACACACACACACACACACACACACACACACACAAATGATGGTTTAAGAGATTTGCTAGACCTATTTTATCATCAGGGAATAAATGGAACAGCACCAGAGTCAGTGCTGTGTCCTGAATTTTCTATTTGACCCAAAGATATAGTCAGAAGTCCCCTGACCTTATTTAAGTAGAGATTAAGGATTTGGGACTTCCACCTCAAAATCTTTGAAACTGGCTAAAGCTTCTCCTTAAACGCTTGACTTTTATATGTTATATAGACTTTAAATCTACTTTATCCATGAACCCTAAGAAAATAAAAGCGCATTTTCTCCTAAGGTTAGAAATCCAAAAGTGAACGTTGACTTTAAAGCGACAGCACTTTATATGGGCAATCCATAAGAAATAATTGAGAATAGGAAGTTTTTAAGAATTACCCATGTGCGTACTGTCGGCAAGTGATATGCCTACGGTTCTTCCAGCGCACCACTGCTTTCCCTCACCCTCTACTCTTCTCTCCCCTTTATACCTCAGCTTACTTCAGAAAAAATCAATTCGAACAATTCAGTGGTATACATCTATACTTTATGCTTATACAAGTCACACACAAGCACATGAATACAAGCTCCACTGTATTTTTTTCATTTTTACAAAAATAGTATTGTACTCTATGCATTACTTTGAAATCTTATTGAATAGGTTTTCCACATGTTGATTAAAAGAATGAAAATCACTTTTTCCATTTAAAATATTTATCAAACACTAAGAATAAAACTTATTTTTTCTCACTTAATTTTTGTCAAACACAATTACATATATTGACCTCCAGATAAATACTTTTAAGTATTTACTTTTAGGAGTGTTCTATTAATGGACTTCCTAATTGTTTCCTCTACAAATGATGTTGCAGTAAATATCCTGAATATAAATCCTTTACATAAACTGATTTCTACAGCATAAATGCTGAAACAAAAGGACTGTAGTTGAAAGACTAAAGAATACCAACTTGAAAGCTCTATCACAGAATGGGAGAAACTGGAATATTTTTAGTGCTCTGTCACTATAGATTTACATTTTTTGTTGATCACTTACTATTCACCAACCAGCATGAAAAGCACTAATGGGAAACAGAAAAATAGAACAAATTTCCTGACTTCTACGAAATCGTACTCTCATTGCAGTATTTCCTACAGAAAAAAAAAATCTAAGAGTGCTTCCTCATGCCACTTCATGTATGCAAAACATGTGTACTTTCCCTGTCTCCACTGCATTCAACTTCAAGTTTCTCAGCAACTAACCTTCTAGCTCTCTGCTCTCATGTCTCTACCTTAGCTCTTTTAAAGTGCAAATCAACTAACTTACTCATTTTTAAGTTTTTTTTCATTATTCAGGTTCTCTTTCACAAATTAGAAGCTAATAACTGATTTAAAAGCCAAAGCCTTTCCATCTTAGAGCCTTAGAGGCCAAAAGAGACAGGGAAAGGCTACAGATATTTTAAATGTTAATGACGTTTCTCCTATTTCCCCCTCCCTCCCTCTCTCTCTCTTTCTCTCTCTCACAACACCCCCCCAACACAACAACAAAAAACAACTGTAATGCAATGTGATAAATTTTCATGGATGGTTGGATGGATGGATGAATGAAATGTAATGAAAGCTCAAAGACTGGGGTAAATCATTCAGTTTAGAGTAGAGGAGAGGGGAAGGAGCAAATACGACAGAAATTTTCATTGGGGGTTAACATTTTAGCTGAGGTTAAAAGACAAACGTTTTTTTCTAAGCTTGTGGTATGAGGGCATTATACCCAGTATGAACAGAAACAGCAAGTGCTTCAAGGTAAAAAGTGCTTTTGAGTTTGGAGGGAGCTTTGGGCAGTGGTCCTCCAACTTTAATGTGCATGAGAATTATCCAGGGAACTTATTTAAAATGTAGATTCATAGGAAAGCACCCAGTTTTTCAATATTTTTATTGATGTCCAGAAATCTGAATTAAAAAAATCCAGGTTGACCAGCCTTTGAAATATAGTAGCACAGGCTGTGTGGTGAGTCATGGCATAAAATAATATTGCAACAGGATTGAAGAGAATACAAACTGATGTTTCAGGTAAGTGACAATGTGAGACAAGAAGAGATTATATCAGAAAATAATGTCAGGTTTTTGAATGGCTTGGCAATGGAGCTATTCTTTTTATCAAAAACATCACTGTTACACAGGGAACTTTTATGGAGTGGCTGAATGAATGAATGTGGACAGAATTCTGAGAAAGCCAACTGAAAGTTTCCTGTACTGTGAGCACTGTATGGTTAGTTTAACTTGGCTGTAAAGGAAATAGTTTTAGAATAGCCATCCCAGAACCACTAGTTCAAGCTTTCCAAATGCGGTTTTGATATATGTCAAATTTGATATAGTCCTGCATTTTATGCAGATCTGTAAATAAAGAAAATGTGATTATTCTGTAGATCATCCATGTAAACAGGCACTACAGTTTTGCAGCCAGAGACAGATCCTAGCCCTGGGAGGTAAGATCTGGGCAGACAAGGTGTTCTTACATAATTTCCCAGCTAGTAGGTGGTAGGGTCTGTGATTAATGCTACATGACTGGCTTTGAACTTTCCGATCAGATAGGTTCACTTGCCTTTCAGAACTCCTAGCAAGTGGGAATGTGTGACCTGCAGATTTCACTCTGAATAACCATCAGCCAAGCCAACAACACTAACACTGCTCTGTGGCCCTGCGAGTTTCTCTGTCATCGGACTGTCAGAATGTGTGTGGGTTCGTTTTGTTTTATTTTGTTTTGTTTTTTAAGGGACAAGTAATGGAACTTCACAAAGCCCAGTTGGTGAAGAAAGCTACACAAAGGAGGCTGAGGGATCTTTGAAGAAAAATCAAAAGGGGCCTCGAGAAACTAACAGAAGGAAGGAGTCGTGTTCTGTGTGCAGATATAGCCTGGCAGTTTCTCCATCCCTGGAGCTTCCACAGGGCAGTTCACCACAGCGCTTCCAGCGTCCCAGGCCAGGCGAAGAGCTGTCCCCGTGCTGACCAACTTTCCGAGCATGGCCAAGCGCTCCCAGCTGCTCCGCTGAACCCCGAGTAAGCCCAGGTGAGCAGCCAAGTCCAGAGGCAGAGCCTCTGTCTGCGCCCCTCCCATCTCCACCTCCGAGAGAAGGCATCTTCCATGAGCCCCGCGCGTTTGCCAGCACCGAGGTGAGATGACACCTCGGCTAAGCGCCTACAAAATTTCGTCCACACTCCCACCTCCAAGCGGTCCCTGGGTCCTGTCCCCATCATCGGGGAATGGCACCTTGGGAGTGAGGAGGTTTGAAGGGGGTGGGGTTGAACTCCAGGCTTTGAGCTGAGCCGGACCCACCGGACCACTCCTCACCCAATGGCAGGCCTACTGGGCCCCCTCCCCGCACACACACCGCTACTCACCAGTTCCAGGGCTCGCAGGAAGGCAAGGGGCTCCTTCAGCGCCCGGAAGGTGCCTGCTGAGGCCAGCTTTGGACGAAAAAGACACGAGAGAAAGAGACAGCGTGAGGCTGGGGGCGTCTCCGGAGCCGCGGGGTCCCCAGCAACAGCCGCCCTGCCGGTTTGCGTCCTACCTGACTCACAGGGTCCATAGCTGGCTCTGCTCAGTCTACTCCCCCACCGGTTCCCTTTCAGGGGAAGTTCGAGGGACACCGCGGTCTCGTCCTCAGGGCCAACAGCCCCCTCTCGGAAAGGCGAGGAGTGAGGCCGAAGCAGCCCTGGGCAGGCAGGGCCCTAAGAGAGCAAGGTCCCCGGAGCTGGCTCTGCGATCTGCGTTCCGCTAAGCCCGAGCATCGGAGCTTAGTCGAGCAGGCGAAGGCGGGGAGGGAAGGGCTGGGGCGGGAGAGTGGCTGCGGGGAGGGGAGAAAGCCAGCTGCCCCGGGAGGGCTGCCATTGGCCAGCTGCGAGCTCCGCTGGGAGGGCGAGGAGGTGGGCAAGGCAGAGCCACAGACACTGGTGCTGGCTGCCCTGCGCGCCCCGCGCCCCGGGGCAACTTTGGGGATTTTCGTCGGAGAAGGCAGGCTGGCACCGTAAGCCAGAAGGCACCCTGCCTGAAGAAGACAGTTCCAGGTTAAGAGAAAGGCACTTAACACTTTACATGCGGAGTTGTGGTGAGTTCTGGTAACTTCTGAACACCAAAAAAAGATTGTTTACTTGTCCAATTCTCCCAGTCTTCATGGGATGTTCTCCCTGTGACCAGGCAGAGCCAGGTTCTGGGATACAGCAAAGAGCAGAAAGAGCACTGCATCCTCCCCCAAGGGGAAGCAGAGTGTCAGGGCACAGAGAAAGTGGGGCTACAAAGGAGAGGGAAACAAATGAATCTTGAATAAGGCACAATGTGCCAGGCCTCTGGTCCTCATGGCCACTGTGTGAGGTCGGTAGCAAATCATGCCCATTCTAAAAGCAGAGTATAGATTTAGTGAGGCTGAATTAGCCAAGGTAATGCAGCTCCTGAGGGGCTAAACAGGGACTGGAGTTCAAGTTCCTTTAAAACTCATGCTGTTTCTGCTGAGATCGTTTGCCTTAGATACAACCCCAAATGACGCGCCTGAATTCATCGTAAATAGGACTGAGTCCTCCCTCCAAAATGCAGACTCCTTCTCTTCTACTTTGGTCTACTAACCTTGCCAAAAATAATAAATAATAACAAAATACTTGAGTTCTTTCTATGAGTCAGAAATCGTCCTAAGGGCTTGTAAGCATTACTTCATTAACTACTCCCAACCCCCCATGCGTTAGTAGTATTGTTATTCTTATTTTAGAGTTGAAGAAATTGAGGATCATGAAAGGGAAGAGGTCTGCTCAGGAGTGTACAGCTAGCAGACAAGAAGCCAGAGTTCAACTCAAAAGAAGAGTCAGAGGAGGGAAAAGGAATCAAGAGCTGTTAACCACTACACCATGTAACCGATACACCATCCCCTTCCTTCTCTCTCTCTCTTTCTCTCTCTCTCTCTCTCTCTCTTTCTCTCTCTCTCTCTCCTGGATTCTAAGTATGAAGTGATCTCTCGGCAACACAGATAGCCCATCTGTTTACTACAAAAATTTGCCAAAAAGGTTTGGAGTTTGTATATGTGCAGGGGACATGGGAAATAATTAATATTTACAAGGTGGGGAGAGAAAGATGGAAATGAATCACTTGGAGTCTGGGAAGGGGAGGCAGCAGGCCAAAATTAGGTCAGAAAGAGTGTCGGGTGCAGATAGATACCCCTGCCCATTGATTTTGTTAGAGAAAAACTAGAAATTTAGTAAGAATCCCAGAGGGCTGGCTGCACCAACTATGGTCAGCCAATTTTATCCCTACCACACTTCCTATATGCACTTAGAGTCTGAGACAATTAGCAACAGTTGTTTCAAAAATAAGGCATTATGCAACTACAGGGAAGAAAGAGAGAACTGATATTATCAAGTTCAAGTTCTTAGTATGTGCCCTGCAGTTTATGTATAGAATCTCATACTTGAAATTACTTAGTCTTTTCAAAGCCTCAGTTTTGGGGGTTTTTTTTTAATTTTATTTTTTAAATCTGTACAATAGAGCCTTAGCTCCACATCTACCTTAGGTGTTTGCTCTGAGGACTCAGTGAGATTTTGCTGATAATGTTTTCAGGCAATCTCCACGTGTATTAGTTTCATTTCACACACTCACACTTCTACAGTAGCAAAGATGGAGGCCCAGAGGTCCCCAGTAGAGGCACAGTCGATTGTAGCACTCTCCTGCTATTCTCCGCAGTGCTCCTCAAGTTTTAAGACTCTCTCTGTGATTTGGTCCCTTATTTCCTTCTACCATGTTGAATACAATGTCTCACACAGTGGCTACTCTAATAGCCTGGGTGGTTCCCTGCTTAAGGTTGATGTAGAGCAGAGCTGCAACTAAACCTTGATGGAGGTGGAGCTGAGCAAGAAATGCATTTGGGGTTGTAAGCAATGGAGATTTTTGTCTTTTGTTACTACAACACAACGTAGTCCTGGCTGTAAGAGCTAAGAAGTAGCTGAACCAAGTTTGCACCCAGTCCATATCACCTCAGTGATCTTGCATCCTTGCTGTTTCCATTCAGCCAACTAGCGTATAGGGTGTAACATCTCCTGCATGTTTAATAATGATAACAATTATCATAACAACTAATAATTCAGTTTCCACTACATGCCAGGCATTATGCTAAGTGCTTTACATACATCATTTTAGGCATCACCATAATGCACCACCACCCCACCACCGCCCCCCTGCCAACTTTGTGGGTCGTATATAAAGGCTTAGAAAGTCTAAGTAACTTGCCCAAGGTCATCTAAACATTTGTACATCTTTAGACAGAATGATTTATCTAAAATATTTCCCACTTGCATTTCATTTGAGCTGTGAACTTGGCACAGATGAAGTGTGATTACTGAGCCTATTCCCTCAGGTCTCTCTTCACACACAAAGTTCCTCCTTGCTAATATGGTGGCAATTTTTTCCAGTCTTACAAACACTCTGTGAAGGAAGCCAGAATTGTGGCAAATGGCTATGTGATGGTTTAACAACAATTGCAAATTGTTGAAAGATGCTCTTCACGTTCCAGAAATGCATTAGCTTCCAACAGCTGCATTACCAAAATAACCCAGAGTTCCATATCACATTTGCAATGTTAAATATTTTGTAGACTTTGGAATTATAACCTCTATATGCAGACCTCAGAATACTACTGGCTCCCCTAAAGAACTAGGTTGTGAGAAGGAAAAAGGCTGATGTAAATACTGCCACAGTATTACTCTTAGTGTCTGAGGGATGACCCCTTCTCTTCTGCATCAAGATGGCAAAAGATAATTTCCCACTTACTGTAACAAATTGATTGCAATGGCTCAACAATCATGTTAACTTTTGTGGGGTATAAATGACCCATTTTAGTGGCCTATGTTGATTGTTGATTATGTAAGTCAAATAGTTTCCAAATTCTTTTTTTTTGTTCCAGCCAGGGACTTATAATTATGAAGACTTCCTTTGATATGTCAAAGCAATCCATTTATTTACTGCAGTGCCTCTTAATAGAGGATGATTAGGGCCCTTCCCTTCCCCAGGAGTCATTTGGCAATGTCTGGAGACATTTCTAATTGTCACAGCTGGGGTTGGTGATACTGGGACCTACTGGCATCTTGAAAGGAGGGGCCAAGGATCCTGCTCAACATCCTACAATGCAGAGGACAGCTGCCCACACCACAGCAAAGAGTCATTCAGAAAATGTCAGTAGTGGCAAGGCTGAGAAACCCTGACTTAATCAACGAGGAAGGACTGCGTGCTTATTATACGTTGGTACTAGTTCCAAGTACTGTAAACAGCTTGACAAAATTTCTGCCTTCAGACCTTACACTGTAATGGGATATACAATACAAACCCAATTGTTCAAGGTCAGTATTTGTCAAAACAAGCAAACAAAATTCAAATTATAAACACAACCATTTTGAATCTCAGAGTGTTAATATTTAATCAAAACTACAAAAACCAAAGTACCAAGCTGCAGTAGATGGGCTTGCATTGTTTAGGAAAATTAAATCTTGTTTTTGGGAAATAAACATACCTGAGTTTCATCTTCCTATGTCTCTTATGGCAAAGAGAAAAAGATAGAATTTTATTTGTAGCAACTTAATACAGGAAGAAGTACTACTCATATGTCCCATTATGTAAATGGACATAAACATTGAATGGAAGTTATTCAGAATATTACGTAATTAACTCTCTGCTCATGCTGTTAACCTGAACTTTCCAAATCTTTCTTTGACTAGTGAGTATGAAGCAGAAGCCAAGAGCATATCTGTGTAATTATTTGTTTTCTTATTTGGTTTGCATGGGACAGCTGATGCATAGGACATGAGGTGATGTCGAAATATTTTTAATAATTCTAATTGTATAATAAATATAACACTTTCTTTCAACCCAAAGATCAAATAAAGCCATCTGTTTCAACTTAAATGGCCGTCATAAAATGTGCAAATGTGTGTGTTTCATATAAAACTGCATCACAAAATAAGATTTCACAAGCTCCCTATGGAATTTCTAGCATTCAAATAGGATGATTCTTAATTAACAATCACAACTGATACAAAATTCAAATGTGGATGGCCAATATGAACTCATATCATAAAATATTTTTTACTATTTCTATTTCCATCTTTGTTTTAAACAAAAGACATCCGTATAAATTTGGCTTGAATACATGCAAATTAGAGGACCAAAACTCGTGTCAAAAGATTCATCATTGACACCAAGGAATAACAGTTATAACAGTAATCATAAGAAGGATTCTTGCAGTGTATGAAGTATTAAGTAGATGCTGAACAGAATGCTAAGTGCTCCATAGCCATAACTCATTTAATACCTCCATCAACCTCATAATTATGCACTACTGTTTCTCCCCTTGTGCAGATGACAAAAAAAAAAAATGGCTCGAAGAAATTTAAAATCTCAGCTGAGGTTTTATGGATAGTAAGCAGCAAAGTCATGATTTTCCTCCTACCCTGATAACTTAGCAAGAAAAAGATGATACTGTATACAGTTTTCATAGCAAGTTTGAAAATGACACAAGCTTTTGGCAAAAAATATTTTTCTTGCTGAAACAGAAAAAATTTCTCTGACGAAGTAAAGTGAAGGGCACCATTGTCTGCTACTACAAATACTCCTACTCTTATTTCATGAACATACTAACACACAATCACAAAATGCCTCCCCTTCTCAAAGACTCAATCATTCTAATTATTCTTGTTTTTCTTCATTAGTTGTGTTTTCTAAAAACTCATGACTTTTTTTACATTCTCCTTGGATCACTCCACTGTTTTCTGATTCATGGAGCACAACAGTTTGAGTTCATCTCATACCACCCACTGCAATTTTTAAATGAGGTAAAAGAAGCCCAAGAAATGGAGGCATTTTGCTTAAAGTCTCCTTTCCAGGGAAAAGGCCTAGCATAAGAGGTAATGACATAAGTTCCGGGATCAATTTGACTGGGCTCATCATATC